ATGATTCCTGTTTTGTAACCACAAAGTACTGTGAGCCTGCCAAAATGAAAAGTATATATGATTAACTTCACAAGTAAAGATTGGGATTCAGCACCTTCACTTTGGMGTCTGTATTGTTTCTCCACCCCCCTTTCAACAACTAACTCCTCACCATCCGTTTGTTTCCTGAGACCCCCTGTTGGGGCTTGTCTCTGACAGGTAGGGGTCCTGGAAATCGAACCCAGGGGTACTGTACCACTGTGCCACATTCTTATTTTTTACTTTCAGGCATGGTCTCATTAAGTTGCTTAGGGCCTCACTAAATGCTGAATTTGACCTCAAACTTGTGATCCTCCTGCCTCAGTGTCCCAAATAGCTGCAATTAATAGGCATGCACCAAGTTTGAAACAATTTTTATCATCATGAAGCTTCAATTCGAGGTATTAAAATCAAAGCCCCAGCACAGGCCTGTAATTCCAACGGCTATAAATAAACAAGGTAAATCAGAACCTTTTCTTTTTTAAAAATTTTTTAATATTTATTTAGTTTTTGGCGGACACAACATCTTCATATGTGGTGCTGAGGCTCGAACCTGGGCCGCACGCATGCCAGGCACGCACACTACTGCTTGAGCCACATCCCCAGCCCTTTTTTTTTTCTTTTTCAAAGTAAGCATTTATAAGATCATCGATTACATCCCCAATTTTCCTTATTTTTAAAAAATTATGTTTATTTATTTGTTCTAATTAGGTATCTATGACAGCAGAATGCATTTGGATTCATTGTACACAAATGGAGCACAGCTTTTCATTTCTCTGGTTGTATATGATGTAGAATCGCGCCATAAGTGCAGTCATTCATGTATCTAAGGTAATATGTCCGTCTCATCCCACCATCTTTCCTGCCCCGATATCGCCTCCCACTCTTCCTCCCCTTTCCCCAATGTTTCTCCATTCTTCCCATGCCCCACCCCCCACATTATGGGCATCCACTTATCAGAGACTTTTCCTTAGTTTGTGTATTTTGCACTTGAGAATGAGGTCATGCACCTCATTAATGATTTGAGTCGTTTCTAAGGTGAAGTTTTCTTCTCCAATAAACTGTTCCAAACAGACTTCCTGACGAAGCAGGGAGACGGACTAGGGCTGCTCCATCAAGCATCAGAGTCCAGGAATGATGCGTTCTAATTAGGTATCTGTGACAGCAGAATGCATTTAGTCCAAGCATAAAAAAGACCCCTTTAAACCAGCATCTCCTGAATCCTGATTTCGGTTTTTGTTTTGTTTTTGTGTGATACTGGGAACTGAACCCAGGGGCTCTCTACCCACGGAGCTACATCCCAGCCCTTTTTTTTCTTTTTCAAGGAGGGCCTTGTTAAGTTGCGAGGCTGGCCTCAAACTTGAGATCCTCCTGCTTTAGCCTCCTGAATCGCTTGGATGACATGCGCCACCCGAGCAGAGCCTGATTTCGTTTTCATGAAACAAAACACAGTGAGCAGGCAGGAATCTTGGCTTTTTCAGCTTTCCACCTTTCCCAAACTATTCTAGTCGGCCTGAGCCGACTGATGACGCACACTGTGCGCCGGAAGTACTAGCGGTMGGCAACCGGCTGTGGCATGGCGCCCTCCGCAGCGCGCTGGAACCACGTGTGGGTCGGTACTGAGACTGGGATCCTGAAAGGTACGTGTCAGTGCTGGAAATCGGGAAGTAGAGGGGTCGCTCGCTTGCCACCGCTGCGCGACTGACACCCTCGTCCCGCAGGGGTGAATCTTCAGCGGAAACAGGCGTCGAACTTCACGGCGGCGGGACAGCCGCGGCGGGAGGAGGCGGTGAGCGCCCTGTGCTGGGGCGCGGGCGGCGAGACCCAGGTCAGTGGCCCTCGCTGCGCCGGAGTTGGGGCCGCGAGGCGGCAGCCTCGCTCTCCTGGACATCACGCCCCTCTGTCTGCAGATCCTGGTGGGCTGCGCGGACCGAAAGGTGAGGCACTTCAACACCGAGGAGGGCACGTTCCAGGGCCAGAGGCACTGTCCGGGCGGGGAGGGCTCGTTCCGAGGCCTCGCCCAAGCCGACGGGTAAGTCAGGTCCCCTCGCCGAACACTCAGGGCTCAGGGAGAGCGTCGAGGCTCCTAGGACGACGGAATAATGTCGTTACGCTCTTAGGTGATAAGGACCTGAGTTGGGTGACGGGGACCTGGGTTCCTGCCTTCAGTTCGTGCATTCCTATAACATCTATTGARTATCTACTGAGTTCCGTACTCAAAGAGCAAGGCTGCGGGTGAAGTTTCTGCCTTCGTTAAGTGTGCATCCTTTGGGTTTTCCCTCTGAGATCCAGTGTGACTTTCTGCTCAAAATGCTGGGCAAGTCATTTAATGGTTTTGAGCAGGCGTTTAAATGGGAGCGAACCACCAGCAAGGTGATAAAGCTCCCAGAATAAAGGATAGGAAGGTCTGATGTTTAGGTAATTGGCCAAGCCTTTTCCCAAGATGAAGAAAGAAGGCTGTGGACAGGCTGCTTTTGTTTGGTGGTAGTGTTGATTCTGACAAGTGAGGTCTGGAAAGGATCCGTGGGGCAAGGTGGTTTTGAACTGAAACTTGAAAGATGGGTAGAATTTTGGGGGGAGGGCAGGGGCAGGAGTGGGGCGGTGGGGTGGTCGGTATCAGGGATGAAACTCCGGGACACTCAACCACTGAGCCACATCCCCAGCCCTATTTTGTATTTTATTTAGAGATAGGGTCTCACTGAGCATCTTGCTTTTGCTGAGGCTGGCTTTGAATTCGTGATCCGCCTGCCTCAACCTCTTAAACTGCTGGGATTACAGGCGTGTACCACCATGCCTGGCTTTAAATGTATTTTAGATGTATTGTTAGGTTGAGAGATTTGCACTTTCATTTTGTAGATGGTGGGAATTATTGGGCTTTGAGTGGGAAATGCTGTGGAGCTAAGAGCCTGTAGGAGTGTAGAGGACTGGAGAAAGCAATTAGGAGACTCTTGCCAGGGCTCAGGCAAATAATACAGAACCCGAACCCAGGAAGAGGGTGGGCAGATATGAAGAGGAATGTAGGCCGAGGCTGTGTGGATACTGGGAAGAGAATACCTTGGGTTTCTTGGGAGAGATATTTTGAGGGAGAGGCTGACATTAGAACCCAAAAAACAGGGAACTCAAGAATAGAACCTGGGGTCTGGGACTGTAGCTTAGTGGTGGAGCACTTGCCTGGCATATGTGAGGCACTGGGTTCAATCCTTAGTACTGCATAAAAATAAAATAAAGGCATGCTATCCATCTACAACTACACACACACACAAAAAAAAAAAAGAAAAAAGAATAGAACCTGGGGTTGACCACTGGATGAGTCTTGTTTCAGTCCTTTCTGAGATAATGATCTGAACCCACCCCACTCCCACTCCAACTCCATTAGGAACCAACTCAAGAATCAGGAAGACCATAAAGGCCAGGTACCCCAACTTAGCTGAGGAGTAGGAAAAGAACTCTGCTTTGARGTATCACAAATTTGATTTCCAGGTCTGGGTCTGATTTTCAGTCCTAACTTAAATATTTTAAGTTCTCAGAGCCTCCAGTTTCCTCATAAAACTGGTAACCACCTTCCTGTTGACTAAATTGAGTTGACAGGTAAACTGGATGCTGTTAGGCCCTGCATAGACCCCAGGTATCTTGAGGTTGGGGGTTGGGGCTGTAGCTCAGTGGTGGAGCGCTTGCCTGGCATATGTGAGGCATATAAACTGGGCTGTTAGGATGGGGTCTAGTTAACAGGAATTTAGAGGTATATCAGCTGGGGCCTGGAGAACACATTTTTTTTTTTTTTAAATCCCAACTGTATCTTCCCTGTTTGCAGCACCCTCATCACGTGTGTAGATTCTGGCATACTTAGAGTCTGGCGTGACAATGATAAGGAAGCATCCTCTGACCCAGTAAGGTTCCTTACTCTGWTGGTTGGGGAGGGTGAAAGTTAGCATTAGGAGCCTAATGAGGGATTTGGGGGAGGAAAGATTAAGAACTCTGGAACTGACTCATCTCTCATTCTTTTCAGCTTCTGGAATTGAGGGTTGGTCCTGGGGTTTGTAGGATGCGCCAAGACCCAGCACGACCCCATATAGTTGCCACAGGTGGGAAGGAGAATGCTTTGAAGGTGTGGGACCTGCAGGGATCTGAGGAGCCTGTGTTCAGGGCCAAGAATGTGAGTGATGGGATAGGGAATCCGAGGCCACTTACTGATCAGAGATCAGATGGACTTTAAGGGATGATAAAGGAGGGCTAAAACTGGTAGCACTTCGAACCTTCCTCCATCCTATCCCCTGTTYACCTTTAATACCAGGTGCGGAATGACTGGCTAGACCTTCGGGTTCCCATCTGGGACCAGGATATACAGTTCCTCCCTGGATCACAGAAGCTCATTACATGCACAGGGTACCACCAGGTGAGGCACCATTTCATCCCTGCCCATACCTGGGCTGAGGCAGCTTCTTAATAAAACAGCTTCTGTGGGCAAAATGGGCTGCTGTGGTGTGGCACAGCCACTTCTCAGTCCTTCTTCCCTCCGGAGCTCTCAGGAGAGTGTACACCTCCCCATCCATTTGAGCCTTGGTGCTAGCCTGTGGCCTTTCTTTACTGCATTCTAGGATGGAATGTGCTCAACCACAGCTCTATTTCTCCCATGTGAAAGAGAAAGAGAAGAGAGTGTCCCCTTCACAGTGGGTTCACAGGGCACAAGCGTCAAGGATGGGCATTGGGCTAGGTGTCAAAAAARAGAATTCTGGACCCAAAGCTTCTCTGATTTGCTTTGGGATACAGGCCTGCCCTCCCCTCTCTTGCCTCAGCTCCTCAGCTTTGCTTGAAAGGCTCTATTAGGGATCTTTATGGCTTGTCTCATTTGAAGCCCTGAAACCCAGGGAGCACTGGGTCACTATTTGAAATTTAGGAATGATCTTGATGACATACTTCTGTTTAATCTACTTACGGGGACTTCCTCGCTCCTCCCTCATTCATGCTAAATGTCTGCTTGAAATTCAGCTCCCTCTGATTATTGGACCAACTTGCTTTTCCATTCCTCCACTCCTAGATGGGAGAATGGAGGGACAGAATGCTCACATTCCCTGTTGTGSAGGACCTCTCACCATTATCCCTATCCATTCATGCTCCTGAGCAGCTCTGCTCACCCCAGCAACACTCAGATTTGTGTTTCCAATGAGAACATTTCTTTGAGGGTGGGTCAGGAACAAGAAAGCAGTGCTCAGAAGAAAGGATGAGCATACAGAGATGCCAGGAGGCAGTATGCAGGGCAAGGATGCTTTTGTGATGCCTCAGTTTTCCTCTCTAGGTTCGAGTCTATGATCCAGCCTCCCCCCAGCGCCGGCCAGTTCTAGAGACCACGTATGGCGAGTACCCACTGACAGCCATGACTCTCACTCCTGGGGACAAGTGAGTGGTTAGAGGGGTTGGAGAGGGGCTTGGGAAGGATTCAAGAGATTCCTGTTGACCCCTTGCCTCTGGTCTTCTCAGCTCTGTTATCGTAGGGAACACTCATGGGCAACTGGCAGAAATTGACTTTCGACAAGGTGAGTGGACTAGGGGGTTTGGGGGAAGGGAAAAAGTCAGGGTTCCCTCTAACAGGTAGTATAGGGATTCATTGCACCCTCATGGAGACATCAGATTGCCTGGATTCACATGCTGTTTCAACAGAAGCTGTATGAYCTTGAACTAATTACTTAACTTCCTGTGCCCTAGTTTCCTCACCTGTAAAATAGAAATATTATTGGTAACTCTTGGTTATATTGARGATTAAACGTTAAAATAGAAAGTGGTCTGAACAGTAAACACTGAATAAATGGTGGTTAGCTGGCGAGCTAGCACCAATGCCATTGCCTTCTTTAGGGCGCCTACTGGGCTGTCTGAAGGGACTGGCAGGCAGTGTCCGTGGGTTGCAGTGCCACCCTTCAAAGCCCCTACTAGCCTCTTGTGGCTTAGACAGAGTCCTGAGGATACACAGGATCCGGAATCCACGAGGCCTGGAGCATAAGGTGGGAGCTCAAACTTTCTAGCCCTCACCCCTTGATGCTTCTATGTATTTCAGCCTGCCTGGGCCCTACAAGGTCCCTCCTCTTTTTGCAGGTTTATCTGAAGTCTCGACTGAATTGCCTCCTCTTGTCTGGCAGGGATACCTGGGAGGTGAGCAGTCCGGTCTGGGAAAGTAGGAGCTAAGGGCATGGATGTGAGGATTTCCCTATGGAAAGGAAAAAGAAGGCAGCTGGAACACAGATCTAGGACTGCTATGCCACTCAATTTCTCTCTGTGGGGTGTTAACAGTTACAATTCTGACAGGGTTATCACAAAGGGTGATCCACTGCAGAGCATGGTGACAGTGGTTTCTGGGAGATATAGGTGGTGTTGGTGCCCAGAGGAATTGATTCCCAGCTAGAGCTTCCCTGTTTTTTGACCCCTGAGCTTTCTTCCGACTCACCAGGATGAGCCCCAAGAGCCTCAAGAGATCAACAAGGTACCTTCAGAAGACACAGAGACAGATGAACTTTGGGCATCCTTGGAGGCAGCTGCTAAGAGGAAACTACCTGATCAGAACCAGACCCAAGGAGCTCTCCAAACCAAACAGAGAAAAAAGAAGCAGCAGAAGTCCATTAGCCCCTGAAAACCCCGTGCCCATTTTGTAAATAAACAGCTCAACTTCCACCTTTTGTGATCTGAACCTTTCGTGATAGGAGAAGTTAGAGGGGTGGCTTGGGGTGGCGGCTTCCTGAGCTGAGACAGTGGGATATCTGACGTCACAAAAGCGGCCCCGGAGCCAGGGAGGCTGGCGAGAGGGTAGCGCGAGTAGCACCTTGCCGCGCGGGGCCATGGGCTGCTGCCAAGACAAGGATTTTCAGACCTCGGATGATCAGGGAAAGGATGGCGGGTCGGATGAAGTTGGGGAAGGTGGGATTAGAGCTGGGGGTGCCCCGTAAGGCCCACCCAGGAGGTTGGGTCGGGTAGGGTGGGGCTAAACTTAGCCTCAGCCCCGTAGGCGCGTCAGAAACCGAYTTGGATTCCCCAGGCCGCCAGAATCCCAAGTCTAATGAAAGTCTTCTGATCACCGTGCTATGGAGGCGGCTATCTATGTTCAGTCGTCGTGGTTCCTCGCGGTCATCAAACAAGAAGCATTCAGACCAGATTCAAAGGCCGGGGTATCCAATAGAGGAGGACCAGGATGAGCCGGAGAAGGGGTGAACTCAAACCTGCTCTCCGTCCGCCCCAGCCTCCAGAGAATAAAATTTCTAACGTGGGCCTGCCCAAGCACTGGTGCCTCTACAACCGGCTCTGCGGGCTTTGGGCTCTTTAAGGCTCCTCCCCTGAGGCTGGCTTAGGCCCCCCCCCCCGGGGGGGGTCCACTCTCACTCCTCAGGGGTGGGGTCACGGAGGCGGCCTAGCCAATGGGAGGGTGGAGTCGCGCTTGCGTCGGCAGGGGGCGTGTCCCGGGTCGCCGGGCTGGGAAAGGCGTGGCGTAGCCCTTCGTCACGGGGGTGGGGTTACGTGTAGGTGACGTGGCGGCTCCTAGTCTTTGGTCGGGTTTCGGCGGCTCCAGCGCCCCGGGAGGAGGCGGTGACGGCCGAAGAGGTTGTGGCAGTGGCGACGGCGGCGGCAGGTGGTAGGAAGGAGGTAGGACCCGCTCTAAGAGGGGCTTGGCCGCCGTGTCAGCTCCGGGACAGTGGCTTCACGGGGGCGGCGACGGGCAGGGGGGGAAGGGAACCGGGGGCRAGCGGGCAAGTCCTGCCGGCCGGGCTCCTGGTGAGCGAATACGTCGCCGTCCAACCAGGAAAGCCCTGTGGAGAACGACGTCGGCATTAGCTAATCAGGGGTTGCAGTCTTCCAGAAGGCGGAACTTTGGAGGGGGTGGGACTTCCTGTTTCAAATAAACAYCTAGAGGTTTCCCCCTCCGCCCACCGAAGTGTGTCCGCTCTCGGGGGTCCTTCGCGGTTTCCCCCTGTGAGGGGTTGAAGRAAATCGCGGATAGGAGAGGGCCCCGTTAGCTCCCGGGACAGTYGCACAGGCCAGGCTGGAGCCTTGGTGCCACGGGACCGGGCTCTGGCTTTCCCTCGGCTTCAGGACCTCGGCCCGCKCTCTGGCCTCTTGAGCCAAGTTGGTAGAAGAGTCTTGAGAGGGTTCGGCCTTGGGCCAGGAGGAAACGGGCCCTTTCCCACAGCAGGCAGGTCCCAGGATCCGCGGGTGGCCTTGGGCACGAAAGACTGCCAAATGCAGGAAGGGCCAGAGAATTTGCTAGTTGAGGGGGGATTTGTGGGGAAGGAGGCTTCCTGGGGAATGACACTCTCCCCTTCACGACAGTCCGAGGTTATGCGACTCAATGATCCCGCGGAAACGCTACGGGTCTAAGAACACGGATCAGGGTGTCTACCTGGGTCTCTCAAAGACACAGGTCCTGTCCCCTGCAACTGCTGGCAGTAGCAGCAGCGACATCGCCCCTCTGCCCCCTCCAGTGGTCCTGGTCCCTCCCCTTCCCGACACCATGTCCTGCCGGGATCGGACACAGGAGTTCCTGTCTGCCTGCAAGTCGCTGCAGAGCCGTCAGGTAAGGAGTGGGAAAGGCAAGAATGAGCCCTACTAAACCTGGTTGGGGGTATATTCCAGCACTTTTAAGTGAAATAATTTTTGGGGAAGCCTGATACTGACAGGTTGGATAGGGTCCATAGGACCTACTAAGCCACAAAAAGTGGACTTGTTAATGGGAGGCCAGGACCCAGACTTTTTTTTTTTTTTTTTTTTTTAATTGGTAAGGAATTCCCTAGAGAGTAGGATTGTTATTCTAGAAGGAATACCTCGGATAAAGGTGACTAAGGTATTTGAATAATGAACAAGTTCTAGAAAGAGCTTTCAGTTGAGACACATGCACCTTGGATTCTAATTCTAGTGTACTACACAAGTTTGCTCTGCCACCATGGGGAACCTAGTTAATCCAATTGGGCCTCAGTTTTTCTATGTGTATAGTAGAGGGTCAGGGAAAGGAAAGAAGTCTTTTAGATCAGTAATTTTTTACCAAAATCACTTTGGAGGGTTTTGTTTTGTTGGTGTTACTGGTGATTGAACCCAGGGCCTTGTACATGCCAGGAACACACTCTGCTATTCAGTTACATCCCTCCCCCTTTTTGAATTTTATTTTGAGACAGGGTCTCTAAGTTTCTGGGGCTGCCCTTGAACTCATGATCCTCCTGCCTCAGCTTCTGGAGTAGCCAGGATTATAGTAATTGGGAATTACTAATTGGCATGTGCTACCTTGTCCAGCTAGAGTTTTGTTTCAGTAAAGACTTTGTGAATCCAAGTGAGTCCTGAGTAACTTGTTAAAATTTTTGGTACTGGGGATTGAATCCACAGGTGCTTTACCAAAGAGCTACATCCCCAGCCCTTTTTGTTTTTTATTTTGAGTTGCTTACGACCTCACTAAGTTGCTGAGGCTGGCCWGGAAATTGTGATCCTCTTGCCTCAGCTTCCTGAGTTGCTGGGATTACAGGCATAACCCACTGTGCCCAGCCTGAGTAACTGTATTTTAAAATACTTTTAAATTTCAGCTTTTGTTAACAATTGTTCTCCAAGAATTTTGTGATCTCTAGGAACTTTCTAGTTTCCTCATTGATTCCCTGATTCCAAGGTTAGAGTGGCTGTACTAACCAATTTTTTTTTTCAAATATTAATGGGCACTATCAAGGCCTATTTCTTTTTCTTTTTCTTTTTTTTTTTTTAAGAGGAGTGAGAGAGAGAATTTTAATATTTATTTTTTCTTAGTTCTTGGCGGACACTACATCTTTGTTTGTATGTGGTGCTGAGGATTGAACCCAGGCTGCACGCACGCCAGGCGAGCATGCTACCGCTTGAGCCACATCCCCAGCCCTAGCCAATTTTTTTTCCAATAACAAACTGATTTTAATATCTGAAGTATCAGGTGCAGCATGAGCACTTGGTGACTCATAAAATGTTGCTGTCACTATTTTGCTAGTAGTTTCTGTTCCCTTTCCATTTATTGACCCAATTAACAGAATGGGTCTTTGACAGTCTTTCATGTTGACTTTCATTCATAGCTTTTAGCTTTCTTACTCTCTCCCAAATTTTTTTTTATATTTTTATTTTTATTTTTTTTAGTTTTCGGCAGACACAACTGTTTGTATGTGGTGCTGAGGATCGAACCTGGGCCACACGCATGCCAGACGAGCGCGCTACCACTTGAGCCACATCCCCAGCCCTCTCCCAAATTTTTTTAATGTTTACAATGTATTAGATAGTTGGCTATAGTACTTTATGGCCCTTATGTTAACTAATCTTAATAGTAATAAGAGGTAGTTAGGTTGTCTTYATTTTGTAGAAGAGGAAATAGAGATTCAAAATAAGTAACTTACCATAAATCTTTCAGTTCCTAAGTGGTGAAGTCAGCATTTGAACCCAGGTCTACTTGTCTTCTTTTCGGCTAAAATGCCACTGATAAATATGAATTATCTGATGGCAGATACCTCTAGTACTAGAAAGAGTTTATTGGACATGTGAACAGTGAAAGCTGCAAATATGTAGTGGGGAGCTAAGTTGTCACCTCTTGGCATTGCTTTTCAGAATGGAATCCAAACAAATAAGCCGGCTCTGCGTGCTGCCCGACAGCGCAGTGAATTTACCCTCATGGCCAAGTGAGTTGAGATAAGATTTGTGGTGGGGTGATATAATGTCCAAGGAAGACGTAAGCATGCAGACTGGTCACTTGGCCATGAGGGCTGGGATTGGTTTTGTTAGAACTAATGTGGAAATAGCCTATTTCCTGCCTTTTCCACGGTGTTCTCACTAGTGATTGTTTGCAGGCGCATTGGGAAAGACCTCAGCAACACATTTGCCAAGCTGGAGAAGCTGACAATCTGTAAGTGTTTTGGGATCTTTCAGAGGTGGGGCAGTGAACCAGAGTGGGTGCTCCCTGAGCTTTGTCTTTTTCTGTGTTTGTGGGCTTTGTGGTGCTAGGGATTGAACCCAGTGTCTTGCATGTGCTCTGCCAATAAGCTAATCTCCAGCCTTTTAACTCATCTGTTGTAATTTCCTGTTGTCTCTGCAGTGGCAAAGCGCAAGTCCCTTTTTGATGATAAAGCAGTGGAAATTGAAGAGCTAACATATATCATCAAACAGGTGAGCTGCTAGTTATCAGGAGAGCCAGCATTCTATTTTTTTAAAAAATATTTATTTATTTATTAGTTATTGGCGGACACAACATCTTTGTTTGTATGTGGTGCTGGAGGATTGAACCCGGGCCGCACGCATGCCAGGCGAGCGCGCTACCGCTTGAGCCACATCCCCAGCCCGAGCCAGCATTCTAATTAGATCACTTTCATCATTTTCCATTGACATAGAGGCCCAGAGCAAGTTTCTAGAGCCAGCCCTAAACATCTGTTCTCCCATTTAGTCAGTAGATRCTTACTGATTATCTACCAGGCACTATACTAGGCTCTGGTGACACAGACATGAGGCAAAGTTCTTACTTTCAAGGACTTACTACACAAAAGAGTGATCCAGCTCCATGATCTATACTTACAGTGAGTAGGAATGAATGATAAAGAAAAGATCTTACAAAAAGATGATTGACACAGTAGGGGGTACTGGGAAAGATTGTTAGGCTAGTGGGTGAAATCTGAGCTGAATTCAAGGCTGGTGTAAAGGTAGTAGGAGGACATTCCATCCAGGAAGATGAAGCTATGCAGAGGTGTGGCTAATAAAAGGAAAAGTCTGGGCTGGAGATATAGCTCAGAGGTAGAGAGCTTGCCTGGCATGTATGAGACTTGGGGTTCCATTCCCAATACTGTAAAAAAAAAAAAAAAAAAAAAAAAAAACAAGTCTCAGATGTCACCTGCTCAGGGAGGCCTATCCCAATCATAGTGTGGTCCCTCCTCCCCCTTTGGTTCTTGGAATTGAACCCAGGGGTGCTTAACCACTGAGCCACATCCCCGTCCCACCCCATCTCCCTTTTTTTTTTTTTTTTTTCAATTTTGAGACAGAGTCGTGCTAAGTTGCTGAGACTGGCTTTGAACTTTTGATCCTCCTGCCTCAGTCTCCTGAGTTGCTGGGATTATAGGCATGTGCTACCACACTTGGCAATCGTGGTGTTTAATGCTCCATCAGCCCAAACTCCTATCCTCCTTACTCTGCTCTATTTCTTTTTTCATAATATTTGAACTTTCTAATGTTCTCTATAATTAGCTTATTTTTATTTATGATTTATTCCTTCCTCCCTCCTCCTTTCCCACATTCCACCTCAATAAAAAGAGAGAAAAGATACATGAACACCACAATACCAGGTTTTTTTTTTTTTCTTGTTCACAGATGTACCCCAAGGGCTTATAAGTGTCTAGCATCTAGTAGGCACTGATTGAATAAGTGATTCGCAGGAGACTGGAAAGATAGTTTGGTGACTTCTTATGAAGAATAATGTGTGCTATGCTAAGGGCTGTGGAATCATCTTGAATGCTGTGGGCTACAAGTGGAGTCTGACTTGGAACATGGACAGGGCAGAGACTAGGAAGGAGGCTGCTTTGATTGTCCTGAATAAAGATGAKGATGATGATGACAGAGGCCAAAGGGCATACCTATTCAAGAGATACCATGCTGGTGGAAAAAAGAGAGTTCCTCTAACTATTGGGGTTTTATTGTTTATGCATTTAAGAAGCAGCCTACTAGGTTTAGAAGGGCTTGAATTCAAATAAGTCTACAGTTTAGATTGTGACTTGGGTATCTCCTAACTTCTCTGAGCTTTAGTTCCCTTATCAGTAAGGAGGAGATGATGATGATGCCTACCTCACAGTCCTCTTTAAGGTTCATTTGTTTTCTTTAATTACTAACATATTTGAGTGACTTTCAGGGCTATGACTACTGTACCTAGGGGGATTCCTATAGGCTAGTCTGGCTGAAGAAGGGACATTTAGACCCAAATATGAAGGAAAGTTCATCCAAAGATCTGGTGGGAGCATATTCCAGAAAGTGGGAATGTAGTTTGTAAAGTGGGAACAGCAAAGGGAAAAGATCCAAAGTGTGGGTAACCTTGAGGCACAAAGGGAAAAGGTCCAGAGTGTGGCTACAGCCCAGCAGGTGAGGAGACTAGATGGTGGCAGGGGCTAGACCAGAGAGCCTGTACAAGCCAACTAAGGAGATGGGTTGTATTCTAAATTTAGTGGTAAGCTCCTGGGAGATTGGTATTTTTGGTTTTGTTTGTTTTTTTGGTACTAGGGATTGCAGACAAATGCCTTAGCACTGTGCTATACCACCAACCCTTGAGTTTTAGTTTAGAAGATGAGTGGCCAGGGGCTGGAGATGTGGCTCAAGCGGTAGCACGCTCACCTGGCATGCATGCGGCCTGGGTTTGATCCTCAGTACCACATACAAAGATGTTGTGTCCGCCGAAAACTAAAAAATAGAATATTAAAATTTAAAAAAAAAAGATGATGAGTGGACACTGTATAGGGATTGTTTTTCAGGAAGGTAAACTAGAAAAAGGACTGTCACTTAGGAGTCTCTTGGAGATTTTTTAGAAAGGAAAGGAAGATAGTTTAGACTAGGGTGGCTGCAGTAAAGAAGTAGAAATGTGGACAGATTCGGAGTGAATATTGGAACCATACATTTATTTTTATTTATTTATTTTTAAGATTTTTTAGTTTTAGGTGGACACAATATCTTTATTTATATGTAGTGCCGAGGATCGAACCCAGTGCCTCATACATACCAGGCGAGTGCTCTACCACTGAGCCACACCCCCAGCTCCATAGATTCATTCATTTATTTTTATTTTGAGAAAGTGTCTTACTAAGGTGCTGAGGCTGGTCTTGAACCTGMGATTCTCCTACCTTAGCTTCCCAAGTTGCTGGGATTATAGGCATGTACCACTATGCTTGGCATTGTTTGGGTTCTTTGTGAGTTCCTAATAGGCTCCCTATAGATTTAAAGGAAGAGATGAATT